TCAGGAGGCTGAGATCTGAGAATCATAGATGGAAGCCAACCTGGGCAGACCAATCTGAGAGACTCTTGTATTTCCAACTACTCAACAATAAAAGGAGGTGGCGGTGTGGCTCAAGTGGTAGAGCACCAGCCTTCAAGCCAAAAAACAAAATACAAAAACCAAACAACAACAACAAAACACCAAGCGACAGGCCTTGAATTCAAGCCCCAGTACTGACTGGCATACACGCACAGGAAGACAAACAAATAATGCTAAATCCCTCTCCCAAGCCACTAACTTGCTTTTTCCTTTGTAGGAAATACCCTCTTCCTTCCACCAATCCTCATTTTCTCATCTTTCAGGTCACAGTTAAAATACCCATTCCTCAGAAAGGCTTCACACTCAGACTTGGTGGTACATACCTGTGATCTTAGCACTTAGGAGAGTAATGTAGTATTTGGCAAGCCTGGGCAGTATATCAGGTTTGAAGCTAGCCTGGGCTACACGGTGAAACCCTATCTCAAAGAAAGGAAGGAAGGAAGGTAGGAAGAAAGAAAGAAAGGAAAGAAATGAAAGGAAAGAGAGGAAGAAAGGAAGGAGAAGGAAGGATGGAAGGAGGGAAGGAAAGAATCCCCCCATATACTTATGATGGATTCTTCCAGAACTGTTATTACCTAGTTTATTTCCTCTATAGAACTTAGAACAGTCATTATCGTGTTCATTTGTTTATTTGCCTATCATCCTTCTCTGCCAGCCTCATGAAGACAAGGGTGCCTGTCATGATTATGCTTTATCTCTGACACACAGTAGCTTCTCTAATTAGATGAATCTATGCATAATGAAACCACTCCCTCCAAGACTTGATCCTTCTGTTTCCTGTCTCTGGAATGTGTCCCTACCATCCCCCAAGCACTGCCTGGTTCAGGATCCATCACTTCTACCTGTGTTTGGGGGGACAATATCTTACCCAAAGGACTTCCCTGTCTCCCTGGCCCAGGCTACTCCATTCACTCAGTACACAGCAGTTATGCAAATGATCCTGTAAAATGCAAATGAGATTTGGCATACCCTGCTGCAAAGCTTCTGTGGCCCTTTCTATGGGGGGAAATATCAAATTGCTTCGGTGAGATTCTTAATTTTCCTCCGCCCTGCACCTCCTTGGTGGCATCTTAAAAACTTGTCCCCTCACTCACCATCATATGATCAGGCAAATCTGCCTAGAGTTCCAGAAGAAGGCAGGGTATCCCATATAAGTTCTCTTTTTCATAAGTCCTCCTGAATTTCCTCTGATCCCACTCCTATCTAGCTAACACTGCTAGAATACAACTGGGTCCTTCAGGGGGCAAGCTTCACCAACTCACTGTGTGTATGTACTTGACATTATTCTCAGGATCTCTCTCCTCTTCAGCTTGTTTACCAGCTCTCCAACAGATGGCGCTGTTTTTTTGTTTGTTTTTTTGCCAGTCCTGGAGTTTGAACTCTGGACCTGGGCGCTGTTCCTGAGCTTCTTTTGCTCAAGGCTAGCACTCTATCATTTGAGCCATAGCGCCACTTCCGGCCTTTTCTGTTTATGTGGTACTGAGGAATCGAACCCAGGGCTTCGTGCATGCTAGGTGAGCACTCTACCACTAAGCCACATTGCCAGCCCAAGGGCACCCTGATCTTGTATGGCCTGGTTACATAAAGCAGATCATTTGGTAGGGAGCATGGATTCTATAGCATCAGGCAGTTAGGCAGGCTTGTGTTCAGGGCTTCACTTCACCCCACCCTCCACCCCACCCCCACCCCCTGCCCGCTGTCATGGGGCTTGAACTCTGGGCCTGGGCGCTGTCGCTCAGCTCTTCAGCTCAAGGCTAGCACTCTACCACGTGAGCCACAGCACCACTTCCAGCTTTTCTGGTGCTGAGGAATCAAACTCAGGGCCTCATGCATGCGAGGCAAGCACTTTACCACTGAGCCATCTTCTCAGCCCTTCACTCTTCTTTTTTACTCTATATTTTTTACCAGTCCTGAGGCTTGAACGCTGGGCCTGGGCACTGTCCCTGAGCTCCTTTTCCTCAAAGCTAGCACTCTACCACTTGAGCCACAGCCCCATTTCCGACTTTTTTGTGTGATATAATTGGAGCTAAGAGTCTCACAGATTTTCCTGCCCTGGCCAGCTTTGAATTTTGTTACTCAGATCTCAGCCTGCTGAGTAGCTAGGATTACAGGTGTGAGCCACTAGTACCCAGCTAGGGCTTCACTGTTTGCTTTAACTTTTTTTTTCCCTCAAGGCTGGCCCTTTACCACTTGAGTCATACTTCCATTTCCAGCTTTTTTGTGTGTATGTCAGTTATGGGGCTTGAACTCAGGGCCTAGGCACTGTTTTGAGCTCTTTTGCTCAAGGCTAACACTCTGACACTTTGAACCACAGCACCACTTCTGGTTTTCCAGTGGTTAATTGGAGATAAAGTCTCCTGGACTTTCCTGCCTGGGCTGGCTTGGAGCCATGATTCTCAGGTCTCAGCCTCTTGAGTATCTAGGATTACAGAAGTGAGCCACAAACACCCAGCAAGCTAAAGACTCTGGATTTGTAAAACAAGGCTAACATGTATTTCATGGTTTTTGTAAAGATCAAATGAGGTAGATACACATGAGGAGTTTATTACAGTGAGCAAGTAGAGACTCCTTCAATTCTTTTGTATGAGTAGGTATTTCCAGGATGACATATTGGAAATGGAAAGCACTTCCACTTCAGAGGTACTCTATTAACTGCTGATTAAATAGAGCAGATGCAATACAGACTCTACTGCTTCCACAGCCAAAACCCTCAAACACTTCCTATTGCCCAAAGTTAAATGTGGTCTACTCAGTTGGGCGCTGTGGCTCATGCCTTGCTAGCTGACAGCTAGAGCGCTTCTACTTGAGATATACTTCCTTTTTTTGGCTTTTTGGTGCTTACTTGGAGATAAGAAATCTCACAGATTTTCTTGCCTGAGCTAGCCTGAATTATAATCCTCAGCTCTCAGCTTCCTGAGTAGTTAGGAGCATATATCTGAGCCACTGGCACCCAGTTTATCTTCGCATTTCACACATAGTATCGCATTTGTTCACATGGCTTTCTCTCTCCACAAAAGACATGGACTTCCAGCCCTGCCATGAAGCCCAATTATGTAGGGCCTGATGGATAATCAAAGAAAAGAAAACTTTTGTGTTGAGTAAATGCTTCCACTGTGAAGGCAACAATCAGAGGACCAGAATGGGCTGGGAGGAGAAACTGAGGCCAGAGTGTTTATGAGTAGTTTTCTCCCCCAAAAGACAGAACTGGCTGCATATCAAAATCTATCTGACAGCTGGGTGCAAGTGGCTCACACCTGTAATCCTAGTTACTCAGGAAGTTGAATCTGAGGATTATTGTTCAAAACTAGCCCAGGCAGGAAAGTCCATGAGATTCTTATTTCCAATTAACCACCAAAACAAACAAACAAACAAACAAAACAACAACAAGTGGTAGCCTTGAGTGAAAAACTAGAGGACAATACCCAGGTCCTGAGTTCAAACCCTGTACTAACACATACACTCAGGCACACACACACACACACACACACACACACAGCCCCATCCATCTGACCTCACTGCTCATGCCCTTCCCCCAACAGAACTGGTTCTGTGTAAGAGTGAATTTCTCCAGGGTCTCTGGTTTCCGGCAAATAGGGTCTCAATTTCCAGATTCAAGATCCAAGTCTTCAGGCAAGGCATAAAACACTATAGACAGCTCTGAGGATTGAAGGAATAAAAAACATGTAGTGGCTGTAAGAGGTTACTACATATCCCCTCTTTCTCAAGTCTATTTTTTTTTTTTCCCCTTTAGATACAGGAACCAGGCCTAGGCATGAGAAAAAAGTGTGCCAACATCTTCCCCCTTGGCTGGAAATATCCTGGGAGCCCAAGGACCAGCAGAAGGTAGTGAAAGAGGGTCAGCCACAGCCAAAGGAGGTCACCATTGATCTTGCATGCACTTAATTCTGCAGGGAAGCTGGGGGAGATGGCTGCGGCTGGAGGCTGAGAGGATACCTCTCTCTCTCTTGCGCTCTGGTCCCTAAGACTCCACTCTGGTAATTTCAGGGTTGCAAAATCACCACTGGATGGAGTAAGCGTTGGGGAGTCAGAGTGGGGTGCAGCCAGGCCAACGGAATCAGGATTGTTTGTGTGTGTGTGGGTGGGTGCGATTCTTGAAAGCCAGGCAAGAGGCCAACCTCCTACCCCAGGACCCCGGGAAGTCCAGACTCCCGGCCCCAAGTCTTTCTGTTAACGTGATCCTCACTCCAGGGCCGAGATCCAGGCCCGGCTCCGCCCAGAGGTTCCAGGAAGATGACAAGACCACGACCCCAGCAGGCATCGGGGAGGAGGAGAGAGGAGGAGCGTCTTTGTGCACTCCGTCACTCGTCCCCGGCTGCCCGGGGGAGCTGGGTCCGTTCCCGCAAGCCCAGCCACCGTGGGCCCCCGAGACCTCAAAGGAAGCAGCCGCCAGCGCCTCCGCCCCTGGCAGGGTCCGCCCCGCCCCGGCCCCGCCCTCCGGCCTTTCGCGCTACCTTCGCCTGGGTCTCGGGGCCGGAAGCTCCCTTTCCCTCCTCCTGACTCAACCCCCCGTCAGGGGGTCGCTACCCACCCCTCTCCCCGCGCGCGGGCCCCGGGAAACCTCTCTCCACCGCGCCCCGCCCAGTTCCTCTCCCGCTCCAGCGCCGCCCGGGGCCCCTCAGTCCAACGCCTCGGCCCCGCCCCCGCCCCGCCCCAGAAGGCCCCTCCCCTCCCCAGAAGGCCACGCCCCCCGAGGATGACCGCGCCCCACGTCGCCGCTAGCTTGGGCCTTCGAGCCCCAGACACCCCGCCCCTCCTTACCAGGCCACGCCCACTTCGCTCTATTTCCCCCCCTCGCGCTTCGTCCTCCTAGCCCCGCCTCCTGGGCTCCGGAAGCTTCTCCCCGCCCCCGGCCCCGCCCCCCGAACTTTCTTGAGCCCGGGGCGGCGGGCGGGACAGAACGTAGGGAGCCGCCGCCCGGGCCGCGCGCAGATGGAGCTGGCGGGTCCCGCGCGGCGCCGGGAGTGAGCGGCGGAGCCTCGAGCCGGACCTCACGGACTCGCCATGGAAGAGGAGGTGAGGGCCGGGCCGGGCCATACTGGGGTGGGGAGAGGTGGGGTCGGCTTAGGCGAGGGGGTCAGTGAGACTCTCGCGGGGTGGTTGGGGTCCCGGGCTCAGGCCTTGGTTCGTTTCTGGCTCTCCATCGGCCTGGGAACCCCGTGGGCCCCCCTTTCCCACCCCCCCCCCACGAGAAAGCCTGGGGTAGAGGCGGGGGAAGAGAACGGCGTCCGGCACTTCGCAGACCGCATCCTCTTTCATCGTGGTTTTTCTCTCTGTGTGGAAATCGTGGCTGGTATTGTTCCCATTGGATTGATGGGGAGACTGAGGCTCCAACTGGCCGGGAAGTGGCCTGGGTCGCCTGCTGTATCCCCAACCCTGTGCTGGCCAGATCCGTGTCTATGTGTGCTTGTGGCTTCCAGGGTCGTTGGCTCAAGGGATCTTGACACTGTTAACAGTGCCTGGTGGCAGGAAGACCGAGGAAATGACTTTTTCCTCCCTTGTGTAAGTCCCCTGCGAGTCCTCTGCTTCCCTCCTCTCATCTTCCCTGGCCCAAATCCTTCCGAAGACACCAGCTAAGAAGTCAGGTCTCTGCTTTCCCCACATCCCTGAGAAGGCCTGAGTTCCCGGGGAGCCGAGAACTGGTCTAGCCAATGCCTCTTGAGTCTCATTCTTCCCTTCTCAGGACACTTTTGGACTGGGGTGTCTTCAGGTACTCCATGATCTCCACCCTTTGCATGCAAACTATTCTCCCAGCACTCCTAGTGAGCATTTAATGACTGTCTGTGGCATAAATGTGAATATGAATATGATTTTTTCTTTTTCTGGTGTGCCAGTACTGGGCTTGAACTCAGGGCTTGCAGGTACTCTACCACTTGAACCACAGCTCCACTTTGGGCTTTTTTTTTTGGTGGTTAATTGGCTGGTTTTGAACTCTAATCCTCAAATTTCAGCTTCTTGAGTAGCAAGGTTACAGGTGTGAGCCACTGGCTTGTGTTATCTCTTGAAGTTTTCACCATCTTTTGCCCTTACAAGTTCAAAGGAAGGAAGGATCTGTTTTTGCCTGGATGAGTGGCAAGGAAACTAGTCATCTGGAGACCCCTGAGTGGTCCACATTGCCTGAGTCCTTGTCAGTGTCCACCTCCCTACTTCCTGGGGCCACTGGTCAAGAGCAGGTAGGCGGGTGACTCCCTCTAGGCCAGGCCCTGCAGTTCTGTGGGATGATAGATAAGTCACTTCCCCTCTTAGCCAGCGTTTCCTCTTCTATAAAATACAGGGCCTAGCCACCTCCCCCAGGCCTGAGGGTATGATGTAGTCCCTTCACTGAGTGGGCCTAGATAGGAGGCCAAGCAGGCCACTAAGATTTGCTGTGGTTTCTTTCTTGCTGTCACGGGTGGGGCTGCTGTCTGTCCTGGGCGCTCGGTTCTCTGGTTCAGGCCCCTCCTCTGTTCTCTGAGGATGTGGATGAAAAATACTCCATCTCCTGATCTGCTTTGGCCCCCAATTAAAGGGAGTTTCCCTGAGCTCAGCTCAGCCCTGAGCTCCCTCTGGTCCTTGATCTCTAATAGTGTGACTTTCTGACTCCCAGATGTCAAGACCTGTCTGAATACCCGGGCCATCTCAAGTCATGCCACTTTACTTCCTCCCTCCATCCCCTAAGTCTCATTTCACTTATACATGGCTGTTTTTCACCCTCCCACTAGCTTTCTGCTTCCTTCCTGGGCCCCTGCATGACCCCCTCAGCCTCAATGATCTCTGCAGTAGGTTGGTGGTCTGTATCAGGCTGAGGTTTGGTGAAGAAGTGCTGATTTGGGCTTTGAACATCTCCTTAAATATATTCTCTGGGCTTTAGTTTCCCCAGATGAAAAGAGAGAGAAGGATCCAGAAATAGGCTAATGCGTGTGCAAAAACTTTGAAAACTATACCTATCAGTGGCATTGTTGTTACTGTCCCTGGTGTAACGTTGGAAACCTTGGATCTAGGCTTCTACCCTAAGGCTCTGTCCCCTGCCCTCACGAAGTCCTGGCTCCACACTGCTTACTTGAGCTTCTTGAGACAGGAGGGGACAGTGCCCTGTCCCAACATTGGCTAATTAAGGTTGTGTCTTTTCAGGGGTGAAGGGATTGAGAGTGGAATTCCTTTACTTTCTTGAGCTCTGCCCTTCTCAAATGACTTCCTAGACTAGAAACTTTGAAGTGATGGACGTCTACCCCTCCCTACACCCATTCCCCACACTAGAGGCTTCCCTGAGGCCTGGTCTGTGCTCCTCTAGGGCAGAGCCCTGTACTTCCTTTCTCTGTCTGCTCCTCCACAGGCTCAGATCACAGGGCTCTGATGTGGTGGCTTCTCTCTAGAGTTTGGGCTGCTTTACTGGGTTTAGTCTAAGGGCAAAGGTTGGCTTGAGCTGCCAGGGTCTGTAATGTCATGTGCCAATAAAATTTCTTCTTCTGGCTTCTGTCTTAAGTTTGTTATGGTTTTCTATCTGTCTTCTAAGCACAAAGATAAGAGTGACCTGGCTTTAAAAAATTTTGGTGCCAGTACTGGGGCTTGAACTCAGGGCCCCACATGCTTGCTTAGATTTTTTTTGTTTTGTTCAAGGCTTGCGCTCTACCATTTGAGCCATGCCTTCACTTCTGTCTTTTTGCTGTTTCATTGGAGAAGAGAGTCTCACAGACTTTTCCATCCTGTCTGGCCTCGAACCCTGATCCCTGATCCTCAGCTCTCACTTCCCAAGTAGCTAAGAGCCCCCAGCTCCTATTGTTTTTTTGTTTTTAAAAATGAATGAGCCAGGGCTGGAGATGTGGCTCAGTGGTAGAGTGCTTGCCTTGCATGCCTGAAGCCCTGGGTTTGATTCCTCAGTACCACATACACAGAAAAGGCTGGAAGTGGCGCTGTGGCTCAAGTGGTAGAGTGCTAGCCTTGAGCAAAAGTAGCTCAGGGACAGCCCAGGCTCTGAGTTCAAGCCCCAGGACTGGCAAAAAAAAAAAAAGACCCAAACAGCCTCCCAAACAGTCAGGCATAGGAAGCCAAGCTTATGCTCACAGTTGTCTCAGTGGCTGCTCACAGTGGTAGGGAGAGAGCCTGGTGAGGATGGATGGGTGGGGGAGGGCAAAACAGAAACAGTGGTCAGCTGGTCAATAAGAGGAGAGGAGGCCTAGAAACTGGGCTGAGCAGGACAAAACATTCCCTGTGAGCCCTGCCAAGGGGAGGGGTGCCTTGTTAAAACCCACTGGGGCAGAGCCAGGTCCCCTGCTGGGAAGAGGGCTGAGGGGCAAGGAGGGTCTAATAGAAAGTGGAGGCAAGTAGGACCCTGGTGTCCAGCAAGGCCTCCCATAGGATGGCTGGGTGTTGATTCACACCATCTGTAGCCCCCTAATTTGTCCCTTCTTTCCTCCCACCCAGTCCCACCCAGTCTTCCAGGCCCCGGGCTCAGTTCTCTAACTAATGAAGTCATGCTATTCACTGGGCGCTGGTCAGAGGTAACAGTGATCGTGATACCAGGTTCCAGCCTTGGCTCCCAGAGCTTCCAACTAGTAGGAAATTTCCTGTGTCAGGCAGTGGGGGAGGCAGGCAGGAGTGTGAGTGTGAGAAATGTGGGTATAGGGGTTCCTTTTTCCCTGGGCCCTATGACAGCCTGCCAGGGTCCCTTAGCACATGGGAGCTGAATACCTGGTATTGACAGCGACATAGGGGAAGGGTTCTAGGAGAGTTTCCCCCTCTATCCAGGGGCCCTAAAGTCCCCTCTTCCCCCAGGCAGGATGGCTCATAACTGGCCAGCCCTCTACTTCCTCATTCCTGCTTCCGGGAAGAGCATCAAGACTGTCCCATTTCCTCAAAGAGGAACTGGTGGAGATTTGGGCCTAGCAGTGTAGTCTAGAAAATCATTGTCCCAGGTTGGGACCCAGGCCCCCAGAGAATCCCTGAGAGCCAGAGGGCACGGCAGAGATGGCAGTAACAGAAGTGACAGCTGCCACCTACTAGTCTAAGACATCCTAGGAACTGCTTTACAAATGCCTTATCTCCAAACAGCCACAAATCTTTTTCTGAGTCTTTACTAGGTGCCAGGCACCGTAGGCCCCTGGGAACAGTTGTAAACAATCCCAAAATCCCTATCCTCATGGAATTAAAGTTTTGTTTTGTTTTTTTTTACTTTCCCTGTTAACATCTCCATGTCTAAGGGTGGACAAAGGTGAACAAATTGAGAACCAGAGGTTTGCCCTCAGGCCTGCATGGAACCAGAGCTCCAATCATCAGAACCTGCAGTTCAGGAAGTGGTGGGGGGGGGGGGTTGCACAGGGAGAAGCAGGCTGGGGCTCCCCCCCCCCCCAGCACCACACACACACCTTGAGTTGTGACAGCAGGTAAAGCTGGAGCCTGCCCACCTCCTGACAGCTCACCACACTTAACTTGTGTCTGGGCTTGCCCTTCCAAAAGACAGCTGTAGCCGCAGGGCATCCCTGGGGAGAGGCGTGCCTCTTTGCACTGGGGCCCCCTTTTTGAGTTTTATGTAAATTATAGCATAGGCAAAATTAGTGAGTGTTGGTTTCCTTCTAGAGTTTTCTCCATTTCTGCTCCTGATCTCCCCCTCCTCTCCCCTTCTCTGCCCTTCTTCCTTAACACTCACTGCTGTATGATTCAGCCAATGAACAAAAATGGTGTACCAAACTGGGGTGGATTTTTTTTTTTTTTTTTTTTTTCATCTCACAGATATTTCTTGGGTCCTCAAAAGAGGACTTGAGTGCTTGGGAACCCAGAGTGTGAATCTGACCCCATGTGATAGGCATGTACTCTGTACCCAGCCAACCAAGCAGACAGGACACAAGATGCCCCTGGCTGGCCCTGAGGTGGTATTGTGGTTTCCCTGTCTATCCAGGCTTGACTTTAGCTCCTTGTACCCGCAATGGTTGAAGGAAGGAAGACTTCTGGGGATTTTTTTGGTTGGTTTGTTTGTTTTGTTGTTGTTGTGGGGCTTGAACTCAGGGCCTGGGTGCTGTCTCTGAGGTGTTTTTCTCTCTCTCTCTCTCTCTCTCTCAAGGTTAGCACTCTGCCACTTTAAACCATAGTGCCACTTCCGGTTTTCTGGTGGTTAATTGGAGATAAAAGCCTCACAGAATTTCCTGCCCCAGCTGGCTTTGAACTGCTAATCCTTAGATCTCAGCCTCCTGAGTAGCTAGGATTACAGTCATGAGCCATCAGCGCCCCAGTTTGCTCGCTTAGATTAGGAAGCAGTCCTGGCCTGGGGTGGGGATACAGACAGAGGATTCCTTCTGCTTTGGGGCAAGATGTCTGAGCTGCAGAGTGAGTTCATTCGAAGGGCAGGAGTCGAGAGGCAGATGGTCATTTGGCCTAGTCCCGCCCATCCTGGTAATCCTCTTTTTGTGTGTGCTAGAGTTTGAATTTCGGGCTTTGCTTGATCAGTTGGTACTCTACTACTTGAACCATGCCTCCAGCTCAGTTTTTTGCTAGTTATTTTGGAAATGGAGTCTTGACAACTTTTCTGCCTTAGGTAGCTGTTTGTGTGCGTGTGTGTGTGCACTAATACTGGGGCTTGAACTCAGGGCCTGGGGACTGTCCCTCAGCTTTTTTGCTCCAGGCTGGCTCTTTATGGCTTGAGCCACAGCTGCATTTCTGGCTCATGAACTTTTCTGCTTGAACTGACATTGAACCTTTATCCTCAGATCTCAGCCTCCTGGGTATCTAGTATTACAGGTGTGAGCCTCTAGGGCCTGGCCTCCTCTGTTTTTGAACTGCAATCTGCAGCTTCTTCAGGAGTTAGTATTGCAGGCATAAGCTATTGGTACCTGGCAATCCTCTCTTCTTGGAAGCCTTTTTTACACTACCTCAGCCTGGGGGTCATTGGCCCCTATTTATCCTTTGTAGCATTTCACACTGGTTAATATATGTGTGCCTGGGTGTTACTTGTTCAATTTGTTTTTCCTCCTACTGTGAATTCTATGGCAGTTTTTGTGCTTGTACTGAGGCTTGAATTCAGAGTCTTACTATCACTCTGTGCTTTTTATGCCCATAGTTAGGACTTTACTATCTGAACCATTCCTCTAGTTCTGGATTTTTGCTGGTTAATTAGAGATAAGAAGCTGGGAATGTAATTAGTGGTAGAGTATTTGCATGCATGCATGAAGCCATGGTTTGATTTCTCAGTACCACATAAACAGAAAAAAGCCAGAAGTGGTGCTATGGCTCAGATGGTAGAGTGTTAGCCTTGAACAAAAGAAGCTGAGGGACAGTGCCCAGGCCCTGAGTTCAAGCCCTAGGACTGGCCAAAAAAGAAAAGAATAGAGATTAGAGTCTCTTGGACTTGTCTATCAAACTGGCTTCAAATTGTGATCCTCAATTCTCAGCCCCCAAGTAGCTAGGATTATTTGCTTGTGCTACTAGCACTTGGCCGAGACTGTTACTCTTCTGTGATGTTACAAGTACTCAGTATGTTTGTTGACTGGCTTAATGAACATGAGAAGAAGGAGTAACAGAGACCCATTTTGAATTTTGTCTCTGTGCCTCCAGCCACATGATTCTGGAAAGTCAACTCTCTTGAACTTAAAGGCTTGCACCTTGGAGGGTAGCTGTAAGAGTGAGACTAAGACTGTTGTTTCTGGTATTAGGAATATCTGCCTTTGGGGATCTGGGGACATCATATAGGACCCAGCATAGACACACATCCTTTGTGTGGTCTCTAGCCCACGTGGCCCAGGGTAACAGCCCTCATGGTATGATCTGATGCTGTCTTACAGGGTGTGAAGGACGGGGGCGAGAAGCCTCATGGGACACGGACTGCGGACAAGGCTGGTTGGATCAAGAAGAGCAGTGGGGGCCTCCTGGGTCTCTGGAAAGATCGTTACCTGCTCCTCTGCCAGGCCCAGCTGCTGGTCTACGAGAATGAGGTGGGGGCCTGCTTTACCCTGACTGTGGGGGTTCTGGGATGGGGATAAAGTGATGGCAGCCAGTCCAGCAGGAGGAGACCAGGACTGAGGCTGGAAAATCTGCTCTGGCGGGGCTGGAACTCAGAGCCCGGTCGCTGTCCCTGAGTTCTTTTGCTCAATGCTAGTGCTCTGCCACTTTGAGTCACAGCTCTACTTCTGGTTTTATGATGGTTAATTGGAGATAAGAGTCTCATGGACTTTTCTTGCCCAGGCTGACTTTGAATCATGATCTTCAGATCTGTGTCCTGAATAGCGAAGTTTTTTTTTTGGAATGTGGGTACTAGGACTTGAACGCAGGACCTGGGTGCTATCCATCCCTTAGCTTTTTTGCTCAAGGCTGATGCTCTACCACTTGAACCACACTTTTATATTTGGCTTTTTCTGGTTAATTGGAGATAAGAATCTCACAGACTTTTCCGGCCCAGGCTGGTTTTGAACTATGATCTCTGGATTTAAGCCTCCTGAGTAGCTGGGATTACTGGCACGAGCCACAAGTACCCAGCCGTGCTCCGTTTTTGATGTTTCCTTTTGCTTGATCTCTTATGGGTGTTTGGGTGTGCTTTGGGGATGATACCTCCACATCTGCAGTCCCTTTGAACTCTGTGTGTGTCTGGCATGTGAGTCTTCCCAACTGTACACCTGAATACTGAAACTTCCTGTCCCTGGGCAAAGTTCTATATAAGGAATGTTCCAGAAAGCTGAAGCCTGCTCCATGCAGTAATGGTAGTAGAAATAAGAATTAACTCTCATACTCCCTGGAGCTTTATTTTGTTGTTGTTTGAGATAGGTAGGGTCTTGTATTATAGCCCAGGCTGGCCTGGAAACTTGTGATTTTCCTGCTTTCAGCCTTCCAATTGCTGGGAATATAGGGGTGTACTACCATGCCAAATTCCTTTTCTTTCTCCTGTAACACAAGACTACCAGTGACTTCTGCTATTCTTGTGCCTCTGAAACATTATCAGAATCTGATGTCCCTACTAGGTTGAGGAGACTTAGAATTTGGATGATCAAGAATGCTAAAGTTGGGGCTGAGAAGGTAGCTCAGTGGTAGAGTGCTTGCCTTGCATACATGAGGCCCTGGGTTCGATTCCTCAGCACCACATAAGCAGAAAAAGCCAGAAGTGGCGCTGTGGCTCAAATGGTAGAGCACTAGCATTGAGCTGAAGATCTGTGGGACAGTGCCAAGGCCCAGAGTTCAGGCGCCATGACTGGCTAAAAAAAAAAAAGCTGAAATTAAGGGGATGCTGGTGACTCACACCTGTAATCCTAGCTACTAAGGAGGCTGAGATCTGAGGATTATGGTTCAAAGTTAGCCTGAGCAGGAAAGTCTGTGAGACTCTTATCTCCAGTAAACCACCAGAAAACTGGAAGTGGCACTAAGGTTCAAGTGGTAGAGCTCTAGTCTTGAGCAAAAGAAGCTCAGATGGCTTGGAATGTGGCTTAGAGTGGTAGAGTGCTTGCCTAGCATGCTTGCCTAGCATGCATAAATCCCTGAGCTCAATTCCTCAGTACCACATAAATAGAAAAAGCCAGAAGTGGCACTGTGGCTCAAGTGGTAGAGTGCTAGCCTTGAGCAGAGGCAGCTTGGAGACAGTGCCCAGTTCCTGAGTTCAAGCCTCAGTACAGGCCAGAAAAAACATGCCTAATTTGTATAATAAATGAAAGTCAATGAAGTTCTAGTTGAAGACTGGAGGAGATAAGGTGTTTTTCCCTGTGGGTAATAGCTTTTAGAGTTGAGGCTAAGTAGGGCTAAGTGGCTCATGCCTGTAATCCTAGCTACTCAGGAAGCTGAGATCTGAGGATCATGGTTCAAAGCCAGCCCAGGCAGGAAAATCTGTGAGACTCTTATCTCCAATAAACCACTAGAAAACCAGAAGTGGTAGAGTGCTAGCCCTGAGTTGAAGAGCTGAGGGACAGCACCCAGGCCCAGAGTTGAAACCCCATGACTGACAAAAGAAAAAAAAAAAAAAAAAAAAGAGGGGCTGGGAAAGTGGCTCAGTGGTAGAGCGCTTGCCTTGCATGCATGAGGCCCTGGGTTCGATTCCTCAGCACCACGTAAGCAAAAAGAAAAAAGCCGCAAGTGGCACTGTGGCTCAAGTGGTAGAGCGCTAGCCTTGAGCTGAAGAGCTGAGGGACAGTGCCCAGGCCCAGAGTTCAGGCCCCACAACCGGACCCCCCCAAAAAAACAACAACAACAACAACAACAAAACTAGAGTTATGGCTATTCTAAAATCACCCTCAGTTGGTACTGCTGTCTCACACCTTAATCTCAGCTACTGAGGAGGCTCAGATCTGAGGAGGATCTCAGTTCAAAGCCAGCCCAAGCAGAAAAGTCCTTGGGACTCTTATTTCTAACTAACCAGCCCAAAATCCCAAAGTGGAGCTGTGACTAAAGTGGTAAAGCACCAGAATTGAGTAGAAAAAGTCAAGCAAAAGCATGAGGCCCTTCATTCCAGCTGCAGTATGGAGGTCTGCATGCTTGTGCATACACACACACACACACACACACAAACATTTTACAGTATGTCTCTGGTAGTTGGTCTACCTGAGGGCAGGCTGAGGAGCCAGTCTCTCCCCATTACCAACCTCTCTCAGCTCCTTCAGGGTACTTGGCAAATTCCTAAGTGTCCCAGGCCAAGAAAGACTGGGTGACCTTGATCTCGGTATTTTGGAGAACTGCCTTTGGAAGCACCTTGGCCTGTCCTGTCTACCTCCCCAGGCTCCTGGTGTCAGAGAAGCAATGGGAGGAGGACAAGGGATGAGGACAGGCAGACAGCCCCCCCCTCCCCCAGATGTTCTGTACCCCAGCTCTTACCAAATTAGGAGGTGTCACGGCTGGGAATGTGGCAGCAGAGGGATATTTTTATAAATAAAGGGGATTGTCACAGCTTCCTCCGGTGCCAGCTGCTGCGAGAGTTGAGTGACAGGTTCTCAGCTGTCAGCCTGCAGGCGCTGCCAGAATTGTCCTGGACCATGGCTCCACATCTGGCCACAGCTGGGAAAGCAGGATTTCACATGGCCAAACCTGAAAAACCAAATGATACATTAAAAAAAAAAAAAAAAAAAGAATCAGTGTAGTTGTGCACCAGTGGTTCACACCTGTAATCCTAGCAACTTGGGTGGCTGAGATCTAAGGTAAACAAACCCAAGACTTTTTTTGGGGGGGTTGTAGGGCTTGAACTCAGCCTGGGCAAGTCCCTGAGTTCTTTTGCTCAAGGGTAGCATTCTACCACTTTGAGCCACAGCTCCAGAGACAGGAGACAGAGCTCTTGGAGACAAAAGTCTCATGGACTTTCCTGCCTGGGTTAGCTTTGAACCTCAGTCCTCAGATCTCAGCTCTTGAGTGGTTAAGATTATAGGCATGAGCCACCAGTGCCCAGCCCCAAGAGACTTTTATCTCCAAATAGCTTACCAAAAAGTCAAAAGTGAAGCTGTGGCGTAAGTGATAGAGTGCTAGCTTTGAGCACAAAACCTCAGGGACAGTGCCCAAGCCCTGGTGCATGTGTGTGCACGTGCCCTGGTGCATGTGTGTGCACACGTGCACATACACACGAATATTCAAAACTTAACTGTAGTTTCCAGAACTGAGTACTCAAGGGTGAGGGAGTTTGGCCCTGGAGTAGGAATTGAGAAATGCTTGTTAGCTCAATTCCTCTTTCTGATGTAAGGAACTAGGCTAGTGCTGATGGCTCTTGGCTCTTGGCTGTTCCTTTGTTGTCAGAGAAGATGCTGCCCCCACCCAGTGCCTGCCTGCTGCTTTATCCATTTTTCTGAGCTGCAGAAGGGCTGAGATGATTCAGCGTTTCGGGTGGAGAGAGGAGATGCAGCATGATGGCAGTGGTGGGTAGCTGGACTGACTATCCCCAGGCAGTAGAGGACAGTACAAGGGGACCAGTAGTCATCCTGCAGGGGCGGCCCATGAATGGAGGGCAGGTGGGCTTTCCTCCTTGGGATGCCCCTGAGGAAGAAACTTCTTGGGGTCTCCCTCTGGTGGGCTAGATACTCATTCCAGCAAACTGGTCTTGTCCATCTCTCTTGTCTGTCTGTCTTCTCTCTCTCTTTTAATTTTTTGATGGTGCTGATGGTCTTGAACTTGTGAGGATGGCACTCTACCACTTGAACCATGCCTCCAGCCCAGCTTTAGACTATTTTTCAAAAAGGGTCTTGATTACCCCTACCCCACCCCCCAGCCTTGAACCATAATCCTACTTCTGCTGCTCACTTAGTTGGGATTAGGGACACATACCCTCATGTCCAGTCTATTTGTTGAGATGAGACCTCAGTATAACCCTTTTCCAGACTGGCTAGCCTCCTGATTTTTGTGTCCTTCATAGCTAAGCTTATAGGCATGAGCCCTTTTCGCCTGGCCTATGTGTCCCTCTAATGGCTGTTTTTGTACAAAAGATAGACACAGAGAACATGATAGAGAGAGCTGCCCTTTTAGTTGTAGAATCTTGTGCTTTAAAAAGTACTGAGCAGGAGCTGGGCGCTGGTGGCTCACGCCTGTAATCCTAGCTACTAAGGAGGTTGAGGTCTCAGGATCAAAGTTCAAAGCCAGCCCAGGCAGGAAAGTCCGTGAGACTCTTCTCTCCACTTAACCACCAGAAAACTGGAAGTGGCGCTGTGGCTCAAGTGGTACAGCGCTTACCTTGAGCTGAAGAGCTGAGGGACAATACTCAGGCCCAGAGTTCAAGCCCCACGACTGACCAAAAAAAAAAAAAAAAAGTACTGAGCAGGGCTGGGAATGTGGCTTAATGGTAGAGTGCTTGCCCAACATGCATGCATGAAGCCCTGGGTTTGATTCCTCAGTACCATATAAACAGAAGAAGCCAGAAGTGGCACTGTGTCTCAAGTGGTAGAATGCTACTCTTGAGTACAGAGGCTCCAGGACAGTGTCCAGGCCCTGAGGTCATGCTCTAGGACTGGCAAAGAATAAATAAATAAAAATAAAAAAATAAAAA